ATTTAATGTCAGATCTGTTCTCAGGTCTGATTTAAGCTGGAAACAGCTGTGGTAGAAAAATGATTTGCTTTACACTAAGGATTCTGGTTGGAAAGTTAGACAGCTAGTGAAGATTTGGGCTATGTTATACAACAGCTCAGACTAAACCCATCTAGTACATTTTGTGAACCTCTCAGGTAAATGAAGTAAATAAATTCACCTCTTCTGTCTCTTTAGAAGCAAGAAGCCAAATTTTGATTCCAAGAGGGTATGAAACTCATCCAAGATTGTACAAGATGTAACCCGTAAATTCAGGACTTGAAAAATCTGTTGAACTTCAAAACTCATGAGCTGTGATCTCTACTAGTTTTTTTTCAAACTGGGTTTCTTGGAGCACTAGGATAGTCCAGGCCATATATGGGGGTTGGAGGTGGGTTTGGGGGGGGGGGAGGTGGTGTTTTAATTTTCTAGGGCTGCTGTAACAAAATACTACAGACTGGGTGGCTTAAATCAACACCCCTGTCCCCCTGAGAATAGTCAGTCCACTCCCTTTCTATGCCCCTGATTCTATTATAATCACCAGTTTACTCTGTTCATCAGATTTTTTATTCACTTGATTTTTAGATTCACTTGTTGATAGATATGTATTTGTTGTTCATAAATTTTATCTTTACCTTTTTCTTCTTCTTCCTCTTCTTAAAGAATACCTTTCAGCATTTCATATAATCCTGGTTTGGTGGTGATGAACTCCTTTAGCTTTTTCTTGTCTGTGAAGCTCTTTATCTGACCTTCAATTCTGAATGATAGCTTTGCTGGGTAAAGTAATCTTGGTTGTAGGTTCTTGCTATTCATCACTTTGAATATTTCTTGCCACTCCCTTCTGGCCTGCATAGCTTCTGTTGAGAAATCAGCTGACAGTCATATGGGTACTCCCTTGTAGGTAACTAACTGTTTTTCTCTTGCTGCCTTTACGATTCTCTATTTGTCTTTTGCTCTTGGCATTTTAATTGTGATGTGTCTTGGTGTGGTCCTCTTTGGATTCCTTTTGTTTGGGGTTCTCTGCGCTTCCTGGACTTGGAAGTCTATTTCTTTCACCAGGTAGGGGAAGTTTTTTGTCATTATTTCTTCAAATAGGTTTTCAATATCTTACTCTCTCTCTTCTTCTGGCACCCCCATAATTAGGATTTTGGTATGCTTGAAGTTGTCCTAGAGGTCCTTACACTATCTTCATATTTTTGGATTCTTTTTTTCTTTTCTGGTTGGGTGTTTTTTGCTTCTTTGTATTTCAAATCTTTGACTTGATTCTTGCGATCCTCTAGTCTGCTCTTGGATCTCTGTATATTATTCTTTATTTCAGTCAGTGTATGCTTTCTAGTTGGTCCTTTTTCATATCCTCAAGGGTCTCACTAAATTTATCGGCAGTTTCTAGATAATTCTTGAAAAACCTTATAACCGTGGTTTTGAATTCTATATCCAGTAGTTTGCTTTCCTCCATTTCTGTCATTTGTGACCTGTTTCTTTGTCTCCGCATTTTGGCTGCTTCCCTGTGTTGATAGAATGGCTTTGTGTGCTAGGTGTCCTATAGGGCCCAATGGCTCAGCCTCCTCAATTACCTGAGGTGGACACTCTTGGTGCACCCCTTTGTGGGCTGTGTGCATAGTCTTATTGTAGTTAAGCCTTGATTGTTGTTGGTATCACTGGGAGGAATTGACCTCCAGGCCAATTGGCTGTGAGAATCAGCTGTGTCTACGGTGGGAGAACTTCTGTGCTGGAGACACCTTATGGGGCAAGACTTGTTTCAGTGGGGCTTTGGTGCTCACTGAGTCTGCCCCCTGAGTGTGTCCCTTATAGATATGAGGAGTTGTAATCTAGATGGTCCCACTCTGACCACTGGTTACACTGTCTCCTGGATCTCTAAGGAGGTGCTAATCTAGCCTCTGCCTGAGGCTACCCAGCAGGAGCTATGGAGAGATCTGCAGATTCCTTTTCCTTGTTTGGGATTTGGAGGTGCCCAGATGAGGCCCAGCTGTGAAGCAATGCAAGCTGCTGTGGGGTCTTGGGCCTTCTTTTGGAAGTTCTGGGTCTCTCTGACCCAGCTGCAGTTTGTTAGGTAATTTTAGATTGCAAAGGGCCAGGCCATTCATATGCAAAAGCCTCTGTGCACAGCTTGGGTGGGACAGGGTCTCAGGGAATCAACAGGGCAGAGCCAACAGCTATGGCTGATCCTCAGCCCTGCCCTAAGAGGCCTCGGGTCTCAGTGTCCCCCGGTAATTGGTAATCGGTAATCACTGCAAGCACCTCTGAGAGAAAGCCGCCCTCAAGTTCCGCCCGATGCTAGACAGTCCAGTTTCTCCCCATATGAGTCTGGGTCCCCAGAGACTCGCCCGGAACTGGAGTTCAGAGCAGTCGGGAGCTTGAGACTCCCTCCCAATTGAAAAAGACAACCGAATCCTCAGTTGCTAGCCCTTTCCACATGTGCCTCCGTACCTCTGCACTTTACTTCCGCACCTCCTCTGAGTCTCAGTGTGCTTTTCTCTTTCCTTCTAGTTGTAGAATTTACACTCAGCCAGCCTTCCTGTGGTTCTGGATGATGTCTGTTTTGTCTTTTAGTTGTAATTTTGAAGTGGTTGTGCGAGGCAGCAATTTCCGGTGTTTACCTATGCCGCCATCTTGGTTTCTCCCTGGGTTCTCATCTTTATCCCAATTTCAACTAGGGTTGCCTGCTTTTGCCCGGTTAGTATTTTGGAATCCCTTGAAGGACTTTACTTGAAAAAGAGTGCCACTGCTAAGCAATGTATTGAGAACCACCTATCTATGCACAGTATGTCACTTCCTACAAAGAAACAGGCAAACACATCATGCACCTGGCTGCAGAAACGGCTCTTGCTTCACACTTTATAACTCTTGTTTTTCTTCTACATGCCCTGTCTTATTCATCTTGGGCAAGGCATAAATGGCCATTCCCTGCTGGTGGGTGTTGCTCTCAAACTGCCACTGAGAATAGAGTGAATGGCATCAGTCTGGCCATTCTCTCCATCCTCGTTCCCTCTGAGTCCCCTCGAATTGCCATATGTGCTATGCATGTGTGGTCTGTTCCTCTTGGGGGTTCTGTGTCAAGTATTCTATCGCTTATGCTTCTGGTGCCCTTGGAAACAACAGCATCCTTTAATTAAAGGCAGTAGGTAGCATGATGACAGGATTAGTATCAGTGTCTGGCCTCCCTAAGGGCCAGGGAGCATTGTGGCCAGTTTTCCCATCTGCATAACCAGACTGTTATATGTTTATGAAAAATCAAAGAGAGGGTGGCAGTTTTTTGTGTTGTTTTTTTTTCTCGGCTTGCAGTCTGCTTTACCGGCTTCAGGAAAATAGTGGAGATAAGTCCCACGGGAATTGTTTGGCTGTTTCACTTCACTGAAAATGTAGGGTGCTGTGGCTTTAAATGCATTGCTATTCCGCCCCTTGCTTCACTGCAGAGTGAACAACAGTGATGTTCTGCTGAACAAAAATTACAGACGTTTTAGGAAGGGCTCAGCAGTTTTGTGAGAAGGAAGCTGTATTACTCGAATATAACGAGCCAAAAGAGAAAAAAAATAAAAATCCGGTTTTCATGCATTTAGTAAAGACCCAAGCCCTGGCCTTGTCACATCCTTGTCTGCTTTGTTATGGGTTTGGAAGGTACAGGGTACTCACTTAGCCTGCGGGCACAAATGTGAAAGGAACTTAGAAGCTGAGCTGGAATGAATATCAGGGATAGAGCTTTTGTTAACTAATTATAGACAGAATATTCAGAAATAGAGAGTTTGCAAAGTGCCAGCAATCTGGTGGCCCTACCCACAAGCCCCCCACCCCACATACACAAAAAGGGTTTAGAAATCATCGTCAACTCAGAGAAAATTCTTTTACAAATTCAATATTTATTTCATTTTATTATATACAAAAAGTAAATGCCAAATGAACATAAAATGAAATAAAATCCTATCAGCTGCACTGACTTTAATTGCCCATTACCTGATAATCACAATTAATCATAGAAACAATAGACTGTCACCACAATGTTAAAATTGTTATACAGAAAGATTGTGATATTTGGCTATTTTAAAAATGTTACACGGAGAAAAAGAAATCACAAAGCAACTGGGATGGGGTGAATGTTCAGAGGATGCTGAGATAATCACTCTGTTAAAAGAGATCATCTAAACAGCAAATCTTCAGTCAAGAATAATGTAGTCAAAGCTCAAACTCACATCTACTTGGTTGACTCAGCCTAAGTGGGCCAACAGTAATCACTTTGCATTTTAATTTTCCCACAGAACACAAATACAGTTGGGAGTGTGGAATAAACTGTGAGTTCAGAGAAGATTTGCAGAGTACCATTATTTCCATAGGAGAGTCTGCTAGCAGGGGAATCATTTGGAATTAAAGACAGCGATGGTGTGTTGCAATCAACTCATAATGTCTTTGCTGATTTATGGCACAATGGACATATTTTTGGGTAAAAAATAAAGCCAATGATGGCATCACACATGCAAAGATTTTTAAAAATAAGCTGAATTGTTTTACACTTTTTTCTAAACTCAATTATTAAAATACTTTTTGAGGAATTCAACATCTTTCCATAACTATGTTTCTCAAGTGACTTCTATAAGGTTTGTTTTAAATCATTTAGCAACATGTGTCAATTTCTTTGTCTGGTACCTGCACACACAATTCTCTTGGAAGAGGCAACAATTTCACTGGAGTGACTGAGGACAGAAATTGACTTGTTCTGACCTCTAAATATCTTGTGTATATTTTTAAAAAATAACACAAGGAAAAGAATATACTTCTAAAAATTCAGAATCTGTAGTTTGTAAAATTATTATCATTTTAGCATGAGCTCTGTGCTGACCTTTTCAGATCAATTATAAATAATAAATTCCCCCAAGAGAAATATTTATAGTGGAAGTGGGAAAAACATGAACTAAAGCTATAGCTCCTGTACCATATATATGAGCCGCTCTGGGCTTAGCACACTTTCAGGGGTGGTAATAATATATAAGAGCGCATATGAATATATATCTTAGTTTACATAGACAGAATATGTAGAATTTTTGAACAATCTATATCTGGTGTTGGTATAGTTTCTAATATTTCTAATACTGCCATTATGCAAATTGTCTCAAACACATGGTAATAACCCATCATTTGCACAATTCTGACAGACCAGTTTTTATGCCTTCCTACGCAGGACAAATTGGAATTCAATTATGGATTGTTGACTGGACAATGGAGGAAAATATTAGAAAGTACTTTTCACCATTAGACTGCCATCTGCATTGATTTCCACCTAAATATCCAGAAGGTCATCTCCACTTTCGTCGCTCTCCACGGTCAGCTGCCGGGTCCACCACTTCTTAACTTCAGAACCACAGGAAGCTGTGTCAGTCATGGGGTTCATTTTGCACACCACAGATTTCATGGTTGTCCGCCCTCCAAACCGTAAGTTGACTGAAGACACTGAATGGCTTATTGGCTTTGGTGCTGTGGAATTAACCAAAGTCCTATGAGCAAAATGGTGTTTTACTGTGTTGCAAGTCATTCCTGAAAAACCATGGTATTCCCATCTAATGCTTTTGATGAACAAGTCCTATCCTTTTGAGTATGAGAAGATGTTGAGTATGAAACCTTTTCAGCACTGGATTCTTTATATTCATAATGGGCTTTAAAATTATCTTCATGGACAACTAGTAATACCATTTGAAAAAAAATGCTGCTTGCCTCTTGCAAAAACGAAAATTTTTTTTTTTAAAGTTCCAGTATGGACAAATATAAGTGTCATAGAAATATTTGTGATTCAGTGCTCATTAGTATTATACATATTTAAAAAAAGAAAAAGAAGGACTGTAATGGATAGTAGTGGAGAGGAAGTAATGCAGAAGGTATGGAAAGAATAATGTGGGTAAATACTTTTTTTTTTTGGTAAAAATAAATTGAAGTATAGTTTCAGTGAAAAAGGATTGGTTTTGGAAATTATTTAAAATTTTCTCATGGCATTCATCCTTCCAATCCATGAATCTGACTGAAGCAGAGTGTCTGAAGACTTTGTTGACACACTCATGGATTCCACAGTTATGGTTTTGGGTCCCATTCTGTGACCTGTGGATTTAACTAAAGGCAAGTTCATGTCCTGAAACCCATTTCCTCAACTGTAAAATGAAGAGAATGCAAGTTTTCTCATTGGACTATTATGAGAATTAAAATAGATTAAATGAGATGACCTACGAAAATGCATAGCAGAACTATCATATGATCCAGCATTCCCACTTCTGGGTATATATATTTGAAGAAAGTAAAATAATTATCTTGAAGAGATAGCTCCACTCTCTTGTTTATAGCAATGTTATTCACAATAGTCAAGATATGAAAATGACCTAAGTATCCTTCAATTGATAAATGGTTAAATAAATTGTGATATATAAATTGTGATAACTAAATATTATTCAACCTTAAGAAAGAAATCCTGCAATCTGCAACAATATATGTAAATATACAGGACATTATGCTGAGTAAAATAACCTAGATATAGAAAGCAAAATACTCTATGATCTCACTTATATATGGAATCCCAAAATGTCAAAATTCACAGAAGCAAAGAGAGCAAATATAGTAGAATGATGGTTAACAGGGTTGGGAGATGGGGAAAATAGGGAGATGGTCAAAGGGTACAAAGTTACAGTTATGTAAAATGAATAATTCTGGAGATCTAATGTGCAACATGGTGACCATCTATATAATAAAAGCCCAGCGACCATTATGGTGGAATGACCAGAATGACTGGTCGCTATGATGTGCACTGACCACCAGGGGCAGATGCTCAATGCAGAAGCTGCCCCCTGGTGGTCAGTGAACTCTCACAGCTGGAGTGCCACTCAGCCAGAAGCCGGGTTCATGGCTGGAGAGGGCAGCAGTGGTGGCAGGAGCCTCTCCCACCTCTGCCGCAGCACTAAGGAATGGCAAGCCAAGAGGTAAGGAGAGAGCAGGTGGGTGGTTAGGAGTGAGGGGTCCAGATTGCAAGAGGGATATCCGACTGCCGGTTTAGGTCCGATTGGGTCTAAACCGGCAGTCGGACATCTCCTGAGAGGTCCCAGATTGCAAGAGGGTGCAGGCCGGCTGAGGGACCTCCCTCCCCTGCATGAATTTCATGCATCAGGCCTCTAGTAGTTAATAAGACCGTATTGTATACTTGAAATCTGCTGAGAGAGTAGATATTAAGTGTTCTCACCACAGACAAAAATGGGAAGTATATGAGCTGATGCATATATGTTGACTGCCGCAATCTTTTCACAATGTATATGTTAATAGAAACATCACATTATACACTTTAAATATATGCTTTTAAATAACAAGTAAAATAAAAAGGGGGAAGGGGAAAAAAAGAAGAAAACGCACAGCATGGTACCTGGTACATTGTTGGTGTCCCCTTAAAATGCCTTTTCTTGCCCTTTGCCTCTTCAAACTCAGCCTGTCCCAATAGCATGTCTCTTTAGTTACCACCATTTCTGACATTGGGGCCACCTAAGCTTGGGCCATTAGAGGCACTTTTGACAACATCCTTTCTTTTATGCATTTCAGTGAACACCAAGGACTGCACTTCCCCTAGGTCAGTGGTTGGCAAACTCATTAGTCAACAGAGCCAAATATCAACAGTACGATTGAAATTTCTTTTGAGAGCCAAATTTTTTAAACTTAAACTATACAGGTAGGTACATTGTTATTAACTTAATTAGGTACTCCTAAGGCTTAGGAAGAGCCAGACTCAAGGGGCCAAAGAGCCGCATGTGGCTTGCGAGCCGCAGTTTGCCGACCATGGCCCTAGGTCATCTCTCCTACTTGTTGCTCCAGGGTCTGGACCACTGCCACCAGCTTTGGCCATGTTGTCATCTCATGCCCAGATTAGGTATCATCCTCTGGTTCCTAACGCTGTCTCCAGGCTCACTCTCTATTCTGCTGCCAAGTCACTCTCCCTAAAGCATGAATTCCAAATGCCATGTCTTGCTCAGGAACCTGTACTGGTTCCTAATAGCTACAGGATGAAGTTGAAACCACTCAGCCTGTAACTTACAGCTTTTCATGGCCTGGCCCCACCACCTACTCAACCTCATTTCCCATTACTCCCAGCTTTGTTTTCCCAGGCAGAAGCTAGCTTCTCTCTGATCCCTAAATAATAAACTCCTGGATGTGAAAAAAAGATATTTTCCTTCTGATGTTAAGATCCACTGAACCCAGGGGATTGTCAAGGGCGGGAAAAAAAAGGAGACATATGTAATACTCTTTGTAATACTTTAAGCAATAAAACAATAAAAAAATAAATTTTTTAGATAAATAAAAAAAAAGATCCACTGAACAACTTTTAGTCTCAAAATTTAGTTACACTGTCTTCTGCTTTGTGGAACAGACATGCTACAGAAGAGTTTGCAACATCATCCACCTTCTCATTGGATTGGGTCGAAGAAGGAGAACAAGGAGCATTAGGAAGCCCCTATTTTATTGTGGATTCAATTATTTAAACAGAAAACCACATATGGGGGACAGTGGGCCGTGCGGATCATCGCTCCCCTCCACTTCTGAGTGCCCTTAATGGGATTGTCCTGGCTTCCCAAAACCCCATGTTCTCCTAGAAAAAATTATCTCACTGAGTGTGAAAAAGAATAGGATTGTGAGGATTAAGTGAGGGAACACACACAATGCACGTATAATACTGACTGGCACACAGTAAGCAGTATAGCACTAATATACATCATATATCATATATATCATATATTATATCATATATCATATCAATTGTATTATACTATGTAAGTTTTGTTGTTCCTTCTTTGAGAACTGTGGCATTTTCTAAATGATCATATCTATTCACTTCCTCTCAGATTAAATAAATTTTGCCTATGTTTGCGAACGCCTTAAATGCACTCAGGAAGCCCTTGGAAATCCTCTTTTTTAAAATGATCTTGGCTATGATGTCTCACTTTGTAATAAGTATTGCCTTCTCACCATAGTAACTGAAAACGAGGGCCAATACAGTGGCTATTAGAG